TATACCTGAGATTAATATAATATTGTATGTATAATACTATAATTGAAAAATTTTAAAAAGTAAAAAAATAGGCCCCCAAAAAAGAAATTTGGTGAAACAAACAAACAAAAAATGAAGCTGTAGGTACAGGAAGAGGTGCTGATGGAAAAGTTCCAGGACATAGATAGAGAACAGATAAATGATAGATGATGATAAATGATAGATAGATAGATGATAGATGGATGGATAGATAGATAGATAGATAGATAGATAGATAGATAGAAAGGAAAAAGATTATTAGGGAAGGAGCAAAGTCTTTTAGCACAAATTAAGAAGTGAGGCTGACAGTGAAAAAGTGATAGGAGTCTAAAAAACGGATTTCAGGAAAGGGAGGAATTGCAACAATTGTAATACTTAAGCAAGTGAACCCGAAGAATAAGGAGGAAGTAAAACTGAGCCATCCAAGGTACTTCCATGCTGGGTTATGACAAGGAAGAGGATGGCTGAGGTGGAATGGGGGTTTGAGAACTAGGAATCTGGGGTGTCAAGTGCCTCATCTCTGTGGTCATTTAAGTTACTGTGAATACCATTAGGAGTTGGAGAAGTCACAGAAGACTGTGCCAGAATATAAAGGTCTTTAGTAAAAGCGGGGACATTATTAAAAGGTCAGTAAATGGAACAAAGAGAATAGCGGGAGGGGGATATAAGCAGATGACATATATCTGAAAAGGGTAAAGTTTTGTGCAAGATGAAGATGATAATGGTCTGAAAAGTAGTATTGGAGTATAAAAAATGACATTGGATAACGCCCAATAAAAATGAAAAGGTCTGATTTTAAAAACAAATAAGAATAAAAGTCATTTAAAAGAAATAAAATGCTGGTGGTAAACAAAAATAAAAAATAAAGTATGAAAGAGAGAAAGCAAAAATATAAAGATGCTAAAAGTATCGAATAAAAGTTTAAAATGCAAATTATTTATCATTTACTTATTGTGTGGGGATGCTCAAGACTGTGCTCTGACATTACTAAGTAGTGCTCCGGCGGGTAGGCTCCTCAGTAAACATTAAAAGAAAAAAAAAAGCTAAGAAATGGAAAGTGAAAATAAATCTAACAGTATTAAAATTTAAAAAATATTATTCATTCTCTTATATGGGCTGAAAATAATTAGGTTTGATAACCTCTAATTATTCCTTGTAGTCTAAAACTCAGCCACCCCTTACGGTTCAGAAAAGATAATGAAAAAAGTGTATCATTTTATTGCTGTAAACATTACTCTTTGGAAATTACAAACCAACATAAAACAACCACTAAGCAAGGAACTAGCACCCAAATTATCCAAGAACTTTTATATTGGAGCTTGAAGGAAAGCACCTGTTTTAAACATCATCAAAGATGAATATTATAGTTTAAAAATAGTTGTAAAATAGCAAAAGAAAAATAAGTTAGACTAAGTGCAGCTTGATGATAAAGTGTTTAGTAATTCCAATGTAACTAAATGAAGGGACTATAGGCAATTAAACAATAGATTATTTATTGCTTTAAAATTATGTGATGAATAACAGGTTGATCCATTCATGCGTTTGTCCCAACATAAACTGAATAATCTAGAACTGGAAGAGAGATTCTATTTCATGGGTACTAGTAATCTACATGGACTGGTATATTCCAGTGCAATGTGAAGTAGGTCTTTAAAATACTAGAAATTCTCAAAAGATTGGAATTTATTAAATAGACATGGGAAAATGTGGCAGTACTTTTAAAAGTTTGTTTTGGGTTTCAAATATCTTTCCCAAACAGCCATTGCCATTTTAGCCAATGACTATAACACTTTCAAACTCTTATTAAATTCAAAGATATCATATGTGTTATAGCCTGGTTGGCATTCAAATGTTGGTGTAAGTTCAAAAATGAATTGTGTATATAATTTAAAACATTCGGTCAGAGCGAATATGTAATTTTTGAAGCTATAGAATTAAAATTCTTTCGGAACATTACATTGAATGAAGATTATGAGGCTAAAAACTTTATACATGAATATATAGAAGAGACGTTCAGATGAAGGGCTTATACGTAACCCCAAATAGATACATTTTTCTGTAAATTTTTCAGTGCAGATATAGTTACAGGAAGCAACATGGAACTTAATAAAATACAGCAGATATATCTGGAATTTAATGTCAAAGTTAGCTCTAGATGGTATTTTGGTTGATATTAAATAAAGTATTTATAATGCATTAATTTTTATCTCCAAGGACTACCTCTTTAGAAAGTCAGATGCTTTGTAAACATTAAAAACTGTTTTCAAACTATGTATACATAACATTTCAATCATTATTTCTTCCTTCTCTTTTGTTAAGAGCAAGTTGATCTGAAATTTAGCTTGCAATGTGGATTAGAATGATAACTATACATTTGTAAAGTAATTTCCATTTATTTTCTTAGGTTTATGGAACAACCTATGATCTATAAATTAAAGATTCTAAAAGAAAGATTAAATTCTCCCTAAAGGCTGTTCATGGAAAAATAACCTGCATTTAAATGATGGTTAGAATGGTTGATGTCTTAAAAAGGTAATTTTAAAATTTAGGAATAAGAAGTAAGAATATCAATGTAATCCAAAACAAACAAACAAACAACCCTACCCCCCCCCCAAAAAAACCCAAAACCAATTTGATTTCGAAGTATCTTCCAAGAAAGACTGATGACTAATATTTTTTCTTGTATCTCTCATGGTTTAATGTAACTAATGAAACTTAATAACAAAAGTTATTAAATATGGTCACTCTGGCATTTGTTGGACAACCTAAAAAACATATTTGGAAGATATAAGGAGTCTTAAGAAAACACTTTTGATGATATATCACATCAAAGTGACAAGTAAGCTGCTTGTGGTCAGATACCACCCTCTTTAATTAACTAATAGTTAATTAATAATTATTTTTAGTATTCAAATTCCTAGACCCAAGCATACTCAAGTATATTTCAATAAATGCCTTTTGACTTTATTTACCTATCATGATAGAATCCCCCAAATGGGAGAAAAAAAATGAAAGACTCCCGGTGAATGACTTTATTTACACCTCTGCATTTTGGCATACTACAGAATATGACAATTTTACATAGTCTACAGAGTTAAAGTAAGATGTATATTGTGGCTTTGAAAATATTGACATCATCTGTTATAACATAGAACAAAATAGCTCTAGGTAAAATGATTCATTCCCCAGTCCCCTTTGACAAGTATTGGACATTGAATTCTTTGATCTTGTAACAATCCAGAGAAAATGAGTAATTGGGGGTAATAATCCTTAAAAGATTGTGTCATATACAGTTTCACTTTAGTGAGCTCATATTAATATTGAATTTAGAAAAGAGAAAATTCCTCTACCATGCAATGGTAAATTTACCTCTGGTTGAGAATGCTTTGACTTTATTTAGAGATTTTTAACCAGGCAACACTATATAGCAAACACATAGAAATGACATATCATACATAGTACATTACTAAGTTTTGAAGCTAGAAAAATATATCATATGATAGAATTTGGAATCTATAAATTGGAGCATATATAAACCAAGAGCTTACTGACAAATCAAATCGGGAGTGTAAAATTTATGTTTGTGAGAAAATTCAGTTGGGGAGTAGGTTAGAATAAGGAAATGAGATTGTCTAGTACAATTTCATTCATGTTAACACAGTTTCATCAATTCTGTTAAAAGTTCCTAATTGATCCCTTCAAAATAGCAACAGAGGTTTTTTTTTTTTAAATATTAAACTCAATTAAAACTAATAGTACAGTTACTGAACAATTCTAACTTTCCCCATTAAACATTCTTCATGTTCTAAAAACATTTTTTAAGGCTCCCTTTAAAAAAATTCTCCCAAAGCTTAACCATATTACAGGCTTTATTTCACAGCTCAACTTAAGTAAATCATTTTAACTTAGGAGATGTGTAATAAAGAGCTGAATACAAATGAATAACACTTACTGAAAACACAACCTGAAAGCACAATGCAGTTCCCATCTGCTTCCTTGGAAGGTAACCTATCACTAGTGAGGAAAACCATATCAGTTGTTACTTGCTTCCATCTGAGAAGAACACTTGGCAGGTTTTCCTTTATTAAGTCAGAGCTATAGCGGTAAAGGGAAAAATGAGGGCAATATCCTGCAACCTTACCAGTATGCAATATTAACCAATATTGCATCTACACTAAACACAAACTAGAAGCAGAAAAGTCCTTGACTCCTTAGGAATTTAAGCTGCAGCCCTACCTCAATTTTCAGGCTCAGACATTGCCAGTTTACCCCAAATAGATCTTACTCTGTTGCTACTCTCTAGGAAATTTCCCTCTTGGGACACATTTCCTAATTTGAGGTTTATTTTACCTAGTGCAATTATGAAGGTAGGACTGCTTGGTGGCTTGTGGACCTGACTATGTAACCAGATTTTTTTTTTTTTCTTTAATGGTTAACCCTCATCTGAATATGAAGTTGGATGTTTATTTATATTATCTATGAAATTGACAGGGCATTTGGCACAGAATTCAAATTCTTCCCACATACATAAACACATATTACATATTTTAGTTCTTTTTAAATATTGCCTGAGCTATATGGCAAACCAAAACAGCAAGGGGAATTATGCCAATTGCCATCTTAAGGCCAGTGCTTTTACATGATCAAGTTTTATTTCTTCTACTTGCTAGAGATGCACTACAGGCCACACAGACAGAAAAAAGGCCCTATAGGCCATCAAGGCACAAAGAAAACCCTATCTCAAGTTTTAGTCCCCTGTCATGATTCCATTAGTATTAATATAAGAAAAAGACATACAGATGCTAAGGAGAACCCTTGCCCAATAGCACTGTTCCCATCTGTTTTTCTCATGGTGGTTTCTCATCTTGTTCCACAATTACCTTAGAACCTAGTTGTGCATCCTAAATCACATCGTTAGTTTTTTGGTGGTGGAAACTGAATCTAAATCACAATTACTGAGAAGAAGTGTGCTGAGATCCTGGTTACTTAGTATATTGTACGGTACTGTACTTCGTGATTCGACTTCGGGCTGTGCTAGGGGAGGCAGATCCAAGGGTCTGGCTAAAGTGGTGGTCAGAGGAGCTCCTCATGTGGCCAGTGCTGGCTGTCCCCCCCATAATGCTGCTCAGGCCCCCTCCTCCTCCCAGACTGCTCATCCCGATGCCACCAGCATTTACTCCAGCTGCACTGCCAACCAGGCCACTGCTGACTGTGCCGCTGCCTCCAATTATCCCAGCTGGGCCACTAATTCCAGTTACGCCAGAGCCAGAAACAACCCTCTCTGTCACAATCACATTGTGGGCATTTGATAACTCGGGGTGCATACTTAGACTGCCCATCATGCCAGAAGTTGGTCGGATTACTCTTTCTGTCACTACCACATTTGAAGACTCTCTAGGATCAGGGATGGTCAGAGTGGTGGGTAGACTTGAACCTGGTGCTATTACTCTTTCTGTTACTATAACGTTTGACCCATCTCTCATCTCAGGCATCTCTAACATTCCATGCAAATCAGCACCAGAGATTGGGCCAACCACCCTCTCTGTCACCACTACATTTGAGGCATGTCGGTTATCATGAATGTGGACAGAGGGCTTCAGAGTGCCAGAGGTTGTATAAGACTCGGTTACAGTGACATTGCCATAGCCCAGGGGATCAGAAATAGGCATAGGATGCTGTACACCAGGTCCTGAGGGGTAACTATTCTCAGAAATGACTGTGGTAGTGCCGTAATGTGGGGAGATGGGTGGGCGTCCACTAGCAATGGGCTCTGTTCCCTGTTGTGGGCACATGGGTTCAGTGGTATCAGGTGGCCAAGAGGGATCAAGGTCTGGATATAGTTCAATTTCCTTTCCCAGGCTGATATCTGCCAACTTCTTAAATTTAGGCCCTAGCGTATCCAAGAAGCTGTCATCTAAGTCTTCTCCAATGAAGCTACAACAACCCACAGAGCCAGCAGGGGAACCTACACCTTCAATATCATATATGAGCAAACAGTCATTGGATGGGCGTCCTTCATCTTCATCCGCATAAGCATATGCTTTCTGAATTTGTAGAGGAAAGAGAAAACGAAATTATGAATACATACTTAACAATAATGGAAGTCTTCATCATTATTTTTAATTCCAGGGCATTACCAAAGGAGAAAATAAAAAATAAAATTCTAACATTTACCAGACATGCTTTAAAAATCATTATATAATTGCTTGAAAGAATTTGGTTAGGGACTACTTTAGCTATAATTCTAATAATATATTTGATTTTTAAGTTCATTTAGATAGACTTTATAATAACACACTTTAGACACAAAAGCACAAAAAAATTATGTGAATTATATTGTAACTAAGTTAGAAGGAAGTACTTAAAAACACTGAATTTGAAGTACACCAAATTGTGTATTTTTTTGTGGGGGGGCTTGTTTAAAAAAGGTAGTTCATAAGTGATTTTAGTTGATTCATGAGTATGCTTTTCTTCCTTCAGATGGAATGATTATGGTGGTTCTGTGAAATTTATTTCAATGTGGTCTTTTCAGCAAAACAATAGGAAAATTTGACTTTGGGCGAATGCCACTTTTGGATTCAAAATCGAAGGTGACCAAAGACAATTTTTAAAAGGAGACCCTTTTTCAATTCAAAGTGAAAGCCCACGGACATGTGCACTTCCATTTCATCTTTGTGTTGTTCATAATATTTGATTGCAAACTTCCAGGTTAAGTATCAGAAACACCTTTATTAGTCAAGTAACTCAATGTGCCATTTCATTCGCTAATATTTTTTGAGTCCTTACTATTTGCCAGACACTCTATTAGGAACTTGGCAACGAAGTAGTGAACAAAACCAGATAAAGTCCCTCTCTTATAGGGCTTACATTTTGGTAGGATGAGAAAGACAACACTCATTTGTCAGGAGGTGGTAAGTGCAGGGTAAAAGGATGGAAAGTGATAGAGTTGTTCTTTCAGATATGGTGGTCAAGGATAGCATCTCAGAAAGTGATGTTTGATCAGAGATGTGAATCAGGTGACAGGATGAGTAGAGTAGATAGAGTTTTCTGGGCAGAAGTTGTTGGAAATGCAAAAGTTTTGAGGCAGAATTGTACTTTTCATGAAAGTAATATTCATGGATAGGAAGTATTACTATGGATTTCAGCAACAGTTCTCTCATTATTATCTACTATTATTTGAAAGGCTTTTACTAATATCTTATTCCAAAATATCAGCCACTGTCTAAATGGTTAGGAGAATTCAGGAAGACATTTTAGGCCAGGATATAAAAGGACATAATTGTATCAGAGAAAACAAATTCCTGAAAGCTTACATATCACATGGTGTGTACCCCTGGGTAATTCTCTCTCTTCCTAGGGATGGCAAAATTGATTCTCACTGGTTCTTAGAATGTTCGGGAATTGTACTATGGCTCTTGAATCCATTCTTATTGAATGTTTATTATGTACCTAGAACTCAGTTAGGTACTGGCAACATAATGTAGAGAACATGTGGCTGAAGCACTAAAAAGTGGGATAGATATAAGAATGAATATATTTTAGCAACGGCATGTCCCTGACTTATAATGGTTCGACAGGATTTTTTGATTTTACGATGGTGCAAAGGTGACACTCATCCAGTAGAAATCAGCTAGGCTAAGCTGGGATGTTTGGTAGGTTTAGGTATATTAAATGCATTTTTAACTTACATATTTTCAACTTACAATAGCTTTATTGGGACATAAACCTACACTAAATTGAGGGGCTCTGTACTACAGGAATATAGATAAGGAAACATTAATCCTATTTTGGATGAAATAGTTAACAATAAAAACTTCAGAGGTAGTGATACTTAAACTAGGTCTTGAAAAATGAGTAGGGATTTGTGAGAGAGACAATGGGATAAAACATTCTAGTACAGGCACTGCATAAACAAAGACATGGAGGGGGGGAATAAATCAGTAGGAATAAAGCAAAGGCACTTGGCTAGTGAAACTGGTGGTAAGGAATAATTAGAGATGTGAGGAGGGGCCAATCTGAGAATAACCTTAATTGCCATGGTAAGGAGTTTTGACTTCATGACATAAACGAAATACATTTGGGAGTCATTGGTTGTTTTTAAATGAGAGAGTAGCAGGTTTAGTTCAGAGTTTTAGCAATATTATTTAGCAGCACTATGGATCATGAATCATAAAAAGTAGAGGCTGGGAACTAGTTAGGAGATGCCTACCAAAGTCTCGTTTGGGAGTAGTGGGAGCCTAGAGTACAGCAGTGGGTGCAGGATAGAGAAGAGGGCATAGGGCAAGAGACCTTACCTGACAGAAGTAACTTTCCATGAAGTTCATATTCAGACCTCCTTCCCTACATTCTCTCATAGAATTTCTTCTTAATGTTCCAGAATATTCTTGACATATCTCAGGTGCTCCTGTTGTTTTAACTCCATCTGCTAGTTCAAATCCTGTCATTCTATCTCCTCCTCCAAGATCTTGCATTTCTCTGCCACAGTACTCATTGGTGTAAACCCCTAGAAGTGTAGATCAAATTAAATTTACTTTCTCTAGAGTATTGTAGACTAAAAATCAGTAACTTACTTTAATGTATGGTTTCTTTATTTAAGTATGCATTTGTGAGCAAAAAAAAAAAAAATGAAGGTGATAAGCTAAATGCGGGAGCTATAAATATGATATTGCATTCAAAATAATATTATTAATCAATTTGTTAATTTGATAATAACTGTTTTTAATTGTTGATAATTACATGTTGCGCTAGAAGAGGGAGGCTGCATAGAGGTTATAAAAACCAATGCTTTAGAGAATTTGATTTTAAATTGATGAAAATTTGAGGAAAATAACCTAAATTCTAAAAGTTAAATAGTATAAGAATACCCTACTATATCAGAAGCACAGGGCCTCCAGTAGAAGGTCCAAGAACAATGGCTTTTGGAGAAGAGGGTGTGGTTATTGCGAGGGTAAAGATTTGTGTAGTTAATCTTGCATTTGTGCTTGGGTGTGAGGGGTAATTAGAAGCCTGTTACAATAGTCTAGGAAGGTGAGATAAAACGATGACCTGGGCTAGGAAATTGCCATAGACAGGGGAAGTGTTGACAGTGGGGTATGTGTCCCATGCTTTAATATTTTAAAGGTCTTGATTTTAGGGACAGTGTGTTTTTCATACTTCTATTACTTTGCTGCCTCTCAGTGTGCTGTGTTCAAAGTTTGTGCAAATGTTTGTTGACTTAATGAGGAAATAAATGCATAAATAAATCCTGGTGGACTTGACAAGTCTTGAGAACTGATTGGCTGTCAATGAACAGGGAGATATAAGAGTCAACCGCTTTTGGGGTGAGGGGATGTTAGTGTCATTAACAAAAATGAAAACATCAGGAGAAATAGCTTTAAAGACTAGTGTGTCCAGTGTTTTGAATAAGGTCCAGTTCTACAAGCTATAAACCTTCCTATGACTCTTATATTTTAAAGTGTTCAAAGTAGAAAAGTCATGATTATAAGTTTGAAAAAGACAAAGAAAAATAAGAGAATTAATAATATTTATTTCCCTTGAAAAAAGGAAAGATGATACAACTATTTTCAAATATATGAGTTTTTTTTTAAAAAATTAATTTTTCTTTTTATTAGAGTGATAATTATCCACTTACTGTGAAATTCTAATTGTTCCTAGGTTTCTGCCTGTGAACTGGTCTAAACTCCTGTTTTAAGGTAAGTTGTATTAACAGTCTTACTGGCGTGCAAGGAGAAACTACCACATGTGTACAACCTCAGCTGAGAGCTTTGAAAGATTTTGATAGTGTTTCATCCACTCACTTTCAATTTAAGTAACTGGATAAATCTTTTTAGTTCAACATTTAAGCTGATGCTGAGAATGCAGTTTATAATTTTGTCATGATAGTAACTTCTGAAGTCAGAGTGATTTTCAATCATTCATTAATTGTAGAGATAGATTCTAGTCTTAATAAATGAGCACAGATCTATTTTAATCAGGTTGTACTTTAATTCTAATTAGTATTTTTTTTTTTTTGGTAAATAGCATTTGCTCTATTTGACAAAAAAACCATGACCAAAATTGACTCGTAGTTACAATTCAGTTATTCTCTCCTGTTTATAGATGTCCTAATCAGGTCATCTCCTAAGTACTCTCAGATGATTGAGGGAGATTTTAAAAACTTAACATATGAGAATAATAATTACTGTAGGGTTTTCCTTACCATTTCATTTTCAAATCAGTCATTTAAAAAGGAATAAAAGAACCAATTTTAAAGATAAATAAGACAATTGAGAAAGTAGGAATGCAAAGAGAACAAAATTCTTTCTTAGTCATTTGAGCTGTTAAAATTTAAAAAAAAAAAAATGTTTTTTTCGTACCTGAGGTGTCAATGCCTTCAATTACATTTACATTATTGGAAATTTGTGGTATACAGAGGTTGGCCAAATTCTAAAAGACAAGAAACAACATTTCCTCATTTGTAATGACTCTTTTTTCTAAATAGTTATACATTGGGTATCCTCTCAAATTACCTCAGATTTTCTGAAAGAATATTACTTAGGAAACTATTGAAATCCATTTAAAATTGGAACCTCATTCAGAAAGCCTTCCCTGGTTACTTCCATCTAATTTAGATGTACCTCTGATTTCTCTTCATTTTCCCCATTGGCTATTCCGGAACAAAGAACAGCATAGACTGGGAGTGATCATGGGCATCTTGTTTCATGTACATAAGACTGAGTTTAGGTGACTGCCAAAGGCCATTTCTTACAGATCAGCACTTACCCCAGGGGGAGGTTGTGGTCCTTCCATTGCGTATGAGTGAATTACTCCATCGTTACATTCGGGAACAGGCTCAAAGCCGGCTCCACCACCAGGGGCACCTCCACAATCACAACAGATCAGCAAAAATGGGACCACTTATGGTAAAAAGGATAAAAATAATGAAATTAGCAGCAGGCCATATTAAAAAAATTTGCTTTTTTTGTGATTAAATTTGAATTCCTAATATAAGTCCATTTGATTCTAAAATTATAAAAGTTTCAGAAAACAAACTGAATAATGGTAAGATACCAATATCAATGTGAGCCTTGTGTATCAGATTGTGATTAATTTAAATTTGTTACAGCATATTAAGGTTAAAAATAGTATTATACTGTTGAAACAGATGAGTCTTTTCCTTAGCATTACTCAGGAAAATAGCAAAAGAGAGAAGAAGGAAAGCTGGAGAGGCCAGTCAACATGTTCAATTTATTGTGTTCCCTCCTCCTTATCTTTAGTTTTTTCCTTTCACATATGCCTGTCTTTTTATTTCAACAGTAACATCTTATTCATGCTTCAAGCAATTATCCTCTATAAGGCTACTATTTTCTCCTACACGGCTATCTTTTCTTGAAATTACTCTTGCACAGAGAACTTTACACTGCTTAACAATGTCTTTTTCTATTCATAGTTAAATTTTCCTTATTCATCTGTATAAGTATATAGCCCAGAGCCTTTACATAAAATGATTTTGATAAATAATTTGGAATAAATGGATGGATGAGGGAAAGGATGTGTATTTTTTAAAAAAATGTATAAGGAAGGCAGGAAAGAAAAAAGAAGGAAGCACAGTGGGAAAGAAGGAATGTAGTAAGTATAATAATAAGGGTGAGGGGGAAGAAGGAAGGAGAGAAGGAAAATAATCCATGTGTTTTGCTTTCTAGAAAATACGCCAGGCTGAGATTAGCTTTGACTCTAGGGTTACTTGATTTTAAAGCCCATATATAATTTATAAATCTTTTATTAACTACACTACTCAAGGGTAGTCACCAATATTAAAAAAAAAAAAACTCAAAGTTTTTTTAATACATATTACTCCGAATAGAGATAATCACCCCTTGGGTAATTGATTTACTTTGAAAAATATGTAATTTTTAAGTTTTAAAATGTTGGTTGATAATTAATATGTCCCAAAACATGAATGAGAGAATAATCTCTTCTCATATATGTTTTATGTTATATTCTGCAAATTTGTTAGCATTTTTCTTGCCTTGGTTCATTTTGATAAGAATGTTTTTTTTAACCTTATTTTTCCTTTCATAGAGGTTTTCATGGTCATTATTTCAATTTATTATAAGCCAATAAGAATGAAATCCTATTACTTAACATAGAAATTTCTTGTTTTTTGAAATTTATTTTAAACTATAGAAAAAGAGCCTCAACTTTAAGTTGCGCTATCAGCATGTCCAAACTCTTTGTGGTTTAGATGAATTCAATTAATCAAAAAATTCAAAAGGGTTAAGGTTATTTAAAAATCAGAGAAAATCCAGTTTAATAATGAATTTAGTGAGAACTACCTATTTTATGGCTATTCATGTTTGAAGAGAAATGGAGGTAGAAAAATATTTCATATGTAGGTGCTCTGATTTCATACTTTGTGTGTGTATGTTTTAATTAGATAATGTCTGCAGTATCTTCTGACACTGAGATTTGATGACTCTACTTGAAAATGGTAATGTTTACATTAATTTAATTATAATTTGCAGATATCAACCTACTTACTTCAGAGCTCTTCATTCTTCAGAGACTAGCATCTAGCTCACATTCACTCTAATTTCTATCATTACCTAAAACGATGTTAAAGACCACCTAGAGAATCCATTGGATATTATATCCTCATGGCTAGATACTTGACTAGGTCTACTTTAGTGACCATAAAGTGTGGTCTGTCCCTAAATGCTTCCGTGTGTGGTACTCCTTTTTCATTATCGAAGCAATGTTGTGAGGTAACTTTTATTATTTCACAGATGACAAAAGCAAGGCTCAGCAAAGTTAGCTAACCTTTGACAGACTCAGACAATTACATTTAGCCACTGAAGTCTAACCCTGAGTCTATTTGACTATTCTTTTCATTAGGCTATACAGTCGGAGGAGGAGGAGGAGGAGGAGGAGGAGGACGATGACGATGACGACGACGACGAGAAGGAGGGAGGAGGAGGCTATGCAGTCTTGAAATCCCTTCATGGTCTGGCCCTGCCTGTCTTTCTAGCTTCAGCTCTCACCATGCAGTTTTGCACGTCCTGTATTTCTTCCTCACTGGAGTCCTTTAAATTCAATAACTTGCCCTTTCATTCTTTTGGGGGTTTGCACATACATATTTTCTTCTTGTATTGGGTTCCCTTTTCCTTGTCCATCAGTCTAGCTCCTATTTATCAGTTAAAACCCAACTCAGAGTTTAGTTTCTTTATATAAGGTTTTCTGACTGTTTCAATCAATTGTGTTTTTTTGTCTTCATTCAAATAACAATTTGAACCTACCTCTTATGGGACTTTCCCATTACAAGATTAAATACAAAAAAGTTTTTTTTTTTTTTTATCTTCCATTGCCAAATATTTGATTTTTTATCTTAGAAATCCAGCACCAGCACCAAACATAGAGATATCTTGATAATTGTGCAAAATAAGAATTTGTCAAACATAGTTTATCAAAAAATCAGAAAACTTATCTCCTCTCCATATTTTTTTTGGGTGGCACATATAAATAGGAATGTTAAAGTACTTACATCCTAGGACCAAGAATCCCATGATGAGTAGCCCAATGCCAGCAGGACCAAAATGTACGTTATCGAAGGGATTACGCGGCACATTGCCATTATCTTCTGTAATTAAAGACTCATCGATGGTAGTAACGTCAACAGCATTAGTATGAACATCTTTTGAAGTAGCATCAGTTACACCTCCACTAGTGTTATCTTTCGTATTAGTTTCAGTGACCCAGCCAGAACCGTCGAGGTCAATAACAATTGTACCAGTACAAGTTCTTTGAAGAGCATCTGTAACAAGATTCAAAATGGAAGAAATATTTATACATTTACTGTAATAATTGTTAGACAATACAAAACTATTTTCTTTTTGCATCAATACTTATTTCAATTTCTTTACTCCCATCCATTAACTTCCCAAATCATCCCTTGTCTAAGCTTAGTTTTTAAATCAAATCATTATGACTATTAGTGCTCCTGAAAAATTGTCTCATTTGTTGAGAAGCATAAACAGTAAATGCCACATTATGTATTGGCCAGTTGTGTGTTATAAGCCACAGTGGAAGCATTTCTAGACTATTTTTTGCATACTTCTCCATATATTAGAGCTAGATGTTTTTGTCATTGTTCTACTGTCTTTATTCTTCAGTTATGCTTATTCTTTTCCTTTAATGGGCTGACAAAATCAACAGATCTTAAGCAGGCTGGTGAATTATTTCTACAAAAATCTCTCAGTGATAAAGCAGCATATACCCAAGCTCACAACGAACAGTTCAAATAACTCATAAAAGAGGGAACCGGCACTATAGGAGGTGGGGGGAAATTTCATATAAATAAAAAGGTGACACACTTTTGTTTCACAAGCATATATTCCAGATTTGCTTCCTCCTTGTCCTTCGAAGCTTCAGTAAGTTATTGTGCTCATTGAATAAACACAGGGATAGGGACGTTTGTTATTTGTTTCAACTTAATTGCTCCCCACTTGCTGTTTGTGTCATCTAAACAACCAACCAACCAACCAACCAACCAACCAACCAACCAACCAACCAACTAGTTTTTCAAAAGAGTAGACTGATTTTGAGTGCATTTGATACTTCAAAGTACATCTACATTTAGATCATCAGGTGCCTGGGGCTGAAATGGTGATTGTAAAAGGGCACAAGGGAACTCTGAAATGATGAATATGTTCTAGACCTTGTTTGTGACAGTGTATATATATTGCTATCTGTCAAAATTCATCAAGCTGTACTCTTAAAAAAGATATATTTATTATATGTAAATTATACCTCAGTAAAGTTGAATAAGAAATACATTTGAATCTATATTTCTGTCCTTACCTTGCAACAAAATTGGCTCATTAAAAGCTATCAAATAATCATGTATTCTATAGCAGTTTAACAAAAATATGGTATATACAAAAGTTGATTTAAAAAAGATATTTTTAAATGAAAAAAGTTGCTCAGACCAATATTAAAAACATATTGCTTTATTCTATCATCTACTGAAGGACACTTGGGTTGTTACCATGTCTTCGCCATCATGAATAATGCTGCAGTGAATATCTGGGAGCATATATCTTTATGAATAAATGTTTTTGGGACAAATACTCAGAAGACGGATTGCTGGGCCATATGGTAATTCTATTCTTAATTTGTTGAGGAAACTCCATACTGTTTTCCATAGTGAATAAAGATAATGTGTTACATATGGAATATTACTTAGCCACAAGAAAGATGAAATATTGCCATTTGCGACAACACGGATGAATCTTGAGATTATCATGTAAACAAAATATGTCAGACAGAAAAAGTTGAGAACCATGTGATTTTTACTTGGGATATAAAACTGAAAGCAACAAATGAACATCACAGATAAACAGAGGCTCATGGACTCTGACAACTGTTTAGTGGTTACCAGAAGGAAGGGGAGCGGGAGCGGGTAAATAAGGGTAAAGAGGGTCAGATATATGGTGATAGAAGGGAATTTAACTCTGGGGGTGAAGACACAATGCAATATACATATGTTGTAATTTTTGAATTGCACACTTGAAACCTATATGACTCTATTAACCAATGTCACCTCAAATTATTTAACTTAAGAAAAGATCATAGGTACTTAAAAAAAAAAAACCAGAAAAACATAATGCTGTGGTCATTCACTTTTGATAAACAAGGTCAGTCATATTTCATATGCTATTTAAATGAATGGAAGCTACTTATATTTGTATCTTATATACAGTTTCTCTAACTATTCTCTAAGTTACCTTGAAAGGGATTTATTCATCACGTTTGCAATACTATTTTCCATAGGATTTGAATACAAAAATCAACAATTAGGAATTTCTCACTGCAGAAAAGCCACGTTACTGAAAATTCCTGGTGAGATATTTTTCTCTATCAGAGATAAGATTTCCAAAGTTTAGCATTCACTGTATAGGAAAGTTTCTTCATCAACACGTGCTATTAGGCTAGAAATCTGTCATAACTCTGAGGCTCTGGCTAGACTTTGGTGGTCATAATGCTTACTAGAGTATAGGAATAATGTTGATGGAACATTATTCTTTTCCATAGCTCACCTGCAATTATTTATATGTGGTTATTACCAAAGCAATTTTTTTAAAATTTGATGTTAACCTTTTTCTGGTACCTTTTCCCTCCAACTTTATTGAGGTGCTATTGTTGATATGTAACATCATGTACATTTAAGATGTACAATGTATGGATTCGATATATTTATATATTGCAATATGGTTACCACCGCAGTGTTAGTTAACATTTCCATCGCATTTTTTTTTTTTTGTGTGTGTTGAGGACATTTACTATCTACTCTCTTAGCAACTTTCAAGTATATAGTATAGTATTGTTACCAATAATCACAATGCTTTACATTAGATCCCCAGAATGTATTCATCTAGTAATTGGAATTTTGGACTTTTTGATCAACATCTCCATATTCCTCCCCCTCCCCCTTTCTCTATTATCTTGAATGCTTTTGAGACATGTAGATTGTTTTTGATATTTTGAACACTTAATCTTTAAAATATTATGCAACTCATATTTATGAAGCTAAGTTTGCTGCAAAAGTCATTATAGCATATCTTTTTTTTTTTTAAAGAAAATGTGATTTATTTTCAAATTATATATACACTTCACTACTCTTGTCTATAAACTCAGGTAATCTAAATCTAAGAACATTTTGTCCAGCTGCAAGGGAAGAGAAGTAACAATATTTATGTTCCTACTATGGCACTTTACATGTGTCATAGCATATAATTTTCTCTACAACTTTTTGAATTATTATTATAATCAATCTTATTACTAGTAACACTATTAGATTATTTATTTACATTATAAGTAGTTGGATATTATATATAATTTGAAAAGTATAGAATTATATTGAAAAGCAAAACATAAAACAAAGACAAAAACAGATTCTTAAAAGCACTACTCAAGGACAACCTCTGTCGATATTTTGTTGTCCTTTCTTTAGGCTTAAAATTTACAAATTATTTCAATTACATTGATAGATCATATGGCTCATTCCATTTCATATTTTTTACTTTGCATTATAAGAATTTTTCCATATTTAAAAAACATTTCATTAAAATAGACTTTGATGGCTACACAATTTCATAGCAAGTAGATGATGGTTTACCTGCCCAGTTACCTATTATTGATAGTACTTTCAATATATAATTGTTATAGATAATGCTATAATTAACATCTATATGCATTCAGACGTCTATATTTAAAGTTTTTCCTAAGATTATTGGAATTGGGTGAAAGTACAGAAATAATTTTATGTGAAGTTATCGTTGTTATATCTATTATATAAATGTGAGCTCTGTTGTCAGAGTTTTTTCATTGATGTAACCCTAAAACTGGCACAATGGCTGAGATTTGGTTAGGATTCAATATATAGTTTCTGAATAAATAATTGAAAATATTTCTGAAAGTACATAACAGAGAGAAGTTTAAATCCCTTCTATGATAATGAAGCCCATGTCTTTTTAGCTCAGTTATGGTAATTCCATTGTGATTGTTTTGTTGTTATTTTTATATTATCATTGTGTGCAATATCTATGCCCAGAAACCTGCATTTTTTTTATGACAAAAAGCATGCTCTCTATTTGCCATAAGCTTAACAATTTTGTAAGCCAAGTTCCAATTTTCCCTAAAAACATATATCCAATTAAACTTGACATTGGATGTAAGAAAAGGAATAAATGAGCAAATATTTAAGATAATTTTATCACTGAATCAATAAGCTTTATCTATAGATGGAATCAACATTTCTATTTGTAATGCAGTTTTGAAACTCCATTTATTTTGACTGGTTATGAAAAAGACCAGATAATTCAGTAAAAATTCTGAATTGTTGAATGACTTTAACGAAATGCTATTTTATTTTTTTAAATCTATAAGGCAAGTGGAAATCGTCAACTCCTTTTAAGATAATTGAAAGAGGGTAAAAAAAATGGAAAAAGAAGAGATAAAAAGGGAGGAAGAGGAGCCAAAGTAGCAAGTTATTTCTCAGTAGAATTAGCCTATTTAATTTTATTGGTTTTTAAAAGTAATTCAAATATGCTACCTCCAAGTTGTTTATAGGAAGTTTTACATAAACTTTCCAAAAATTATGTAAAGTTAAGTTAGCTCGGCTTCTGGCTTAACTATTTGAAAATAATTTTACAGTACATACAATTAAAATTTTTAATTATTGACACCAAGAACTAACATTTATTGACTATCAGCACTCTTCTAAATGCTTTTATGTAATAACTCTTTAAATACTTCTAAATCCATAATGTTATTGTCTCATGTTACAGGAGAGAAGACTGAGAGATAAACAGGTTAAGATACTTCTTTACAATGCCAGATCTAGAAAAGTGATTGTACAAGATATCAATCCAGTCTCACTCTAGAGCTCATGGTCTTATCCACTAAATTATGCTGCTTTTCATATCATTAAAGACTTGGTTCTACAATGTCTAATATGATTACTTTTGTTGGAAAAAATGTTACTTCAAAATACAATGATTAATATTTTAATCTGGAAGGATTAAAAAATTAAATTGACTTCTTACCATCTATAGATAGAATTGTTCCTTGGTATTTTCCATTAAGCATATTATATTGTTCCATGGTAACTCTATTTCTCAAAGTAATTATGCCTGTTTTTGAGTCAATAGCAAGCAGGCCAGCTGGATTACTTCCCATTTCATATCTGTATTTGAAAGATAATAGTACAAGTTAATGTCACCTATCGAGAAAGAGAAGGAAAGAGAGAGATAGAGAGAGATTGATTTTATTTGTAAACTATATGTTTCCAGTCAGTCATTATAATCCCTGGATATAGTTTTCATTTATTAGAGACATTTTTTTTTCAGGGCAGTCCAGCTGTTTGAGTCATTCAGAATTAGGCAAAAATTTAAATTAAAAACAAAAAAATTACTGAGCAGCCATTTCTGGTGGAATGTCTCTTATGCCCACTTGGATATCAAATAATCCTTAGATGCTTACAGTCTCATTTTCATTTGATTTTGGTAGCATCAAAACTATCTTGGAAGACACAGATCCTAAGACTTCCTATGCTGCTCCTAATTCTAAACTATTCTCTTACCAAAGAAGTAACTTTTCCTTCATCAGCTTGGCCATCATCCCTTCCCTAATTCCACTCCCCCTCTTTATATACACAATGACTTTAAAGGACTTCTTTTTAAATTAGAAACTATGCATTTTCTTTCCTTGTGCTTCTGTCCTATTTTTTATTCTCTTCTCTCATCTCTGACTTAGATCTTCCTTCTCTTTCTTCCTTCCTTCTTTTATATCTTTCTCCCTTCCTTCCTTCCTTCCTTCCTTCCTTCCTTCCTTCCTTCCTTCCTTCCTTCCTCAGCTTGGCCATCATCCCTTCCCTAATTCCACTCCCCCTCTTTATATACACAATGACTTTAAAGGACTTCTTTTTAAATTAGAAACTATGCATTTTCTTTCCTTGTGCTTCTGTCCTATTTTTTATTCTCTTCTCTCATCTCTGACTTAGATCTTCCTTCTCTTTCTTCCTTCCTTCTTTTATATCTTTCTCCCTTCCTTCCTTCCTCGCTCACTCGTTTGCTTGCTTGCTTTCTTGCTTGCTTTCTTGCTGTCTTGCTGTCTTACTGTCTTGCTTTCTTGCTTTCTTTCTCTTTCTTTCTAAGATGGTATATTTGAATATAAATATTTCTGGCTCGTAATTCCAGACATAGTAACAAGCTGCTGAGCCTAAAGACTGATTTTTAACTTTCTAGTTGCCTGTATAGAATATGGATGAGATATATTTTATATTTTTAATCTTCATTCTTGTTAATCTAAAGTGATAGATCAGGCAAATACTATTTTCATGACTGTGGACCGAACTACTGTTTAAATTTGTTAAAGAAATACTGGTTAGTTAATTCTCTGTCTCACACGTTGTGCTAAACTCAGGGAATAGAACTTTGAGAGGAAACAGGTCAGGAGTGATCTGTTCTTAGTGAACTCAATCTACAGAGTACAAGAAAGTTTATCAGAAATGATGGTACAGTGTGATAAGAGCTATAACAGAAATACTCATATAGTGTGAGAAGAAAACAGAGAAAGAACCTTCAGAACTCATTTGTAAGGTCTTTCCCCCAGTGTTATTCTTGATCACAAACACATGTGTAAGATACATGCGCACATACACACACAGATTTGTTATAATTAAGTAGAAATATCTGGATACACAGAGTTTTAAAAAACTACATAGCATATTTCTTTTCTTAATATTACTCATTTTTCATACCAAAGTTATTATTGGCCAATACTAAGTGCTGATTAAGGAAAGAAAATAACTGAAATGAGCTAACTAAATCTAATGATTTCAATCTGGGCAAATATGCAATGGGAAAATCAGTTCATAAAACCTTCCAGGGTAAATAACCTCGATATGTGGTAATCAGCTAATTGGTCAACAAAATATAGAAGCACAGGAATGTCAAACTTTCAAGACACAATATTTTTACATTTTACATCTTTACATTTATATCTTACATCTTGCATCAAATTTTATATTTTCTTAAGCACTATAAATTAACATTTCAGTAGTTAGTACTTTTTATAATTAAATGATAGCTTCACAAATAATGAAAAATATTTTAATTGAGATAGTTAAAATTTCTGAAAAGATCAGATGTGGCAAAAAATAGTTAGAAAATTTCAGTCTTACCTAACATTTGTCGAAGGTAAACCTGTGTCCAAATCGGTGGCTATGAAGTCTCCCACTTTATAGTTTTGTCCCATATTACTATTTACTACGAATGTCTTTGAACCTGGACGGAACACTGGGCCTTCAATTATATTTTGCACATTCACGGTGATTACAGTTGCTGTGAGTTTATATTGAGACATAATTGAATGATGAAATTCAGCTTTATTTCTAACACCGAGACTAAGTTGCAGATTCTTCACTGCTTCATAATCTAGGGGCTGGAAAATAGAATGAAATAGTTTTACTATAAGAAGAAAAAAATTCCAGAAAAAAGAGAAATTCTTTGATAACAGGCAAAAAAATTCTTATGCCTCTTTCTTTAATTGAATATAAATACACAATCTATTCCTTCTTTAGACTTAATTCAATATGAACACATAAAAATATAGCAAGAAAAAATGCAATTGTCCAGATCCTTTGTTGAAAAAGTTGAAAATGTATGACATGTGTTCTAATTATCCACCAAATTAAAAACTTAAAATAATATATATGGTCAATCTTTGCTTTTTGTAGTACAAAGATAGTTTATGTTAGCTTCCATCATTTCACTTTTCTTAGAGAGTAGCTCTATTTACACAAAATATGGTCCAGATACATTGTATGTTCAGTTATTTGGTTTTATCCATGAAGAACTATTTAGAAGAAATTTTACTTATGTAAATATGACTTCTTTGAATAAGTCAGTTATTAGAATGCAGTATATAAATAATAAAAAATTCCTTATTTTCTTCAACATATTCTGAAAAGTATTTAATCTTATAAAATAATCAAGTAGTCATTTCTTTATAAAAGATAGTGCCACTATCCACTCATAAAATCCACAAACAACTATTCATCATGACCATAAATACCAAATACAATTTTTCTAAATTTTTACATGACAATAATTTAGATGACCATGGATTCGCACATTGAATTCTTCACTTAGCTAAAACTTTCATTCTTTGCTCTAATGTTGGCTTTATTTGAAATTCCAAGAATGACTATAAAATCATGTATACATATGCATTATATACAAACATACATATATGTATCATATATGTATAAAATCATAGCAAAGAAATCAATATATGATACCTTGTCTGGGGAAAAATCAACATCATTTTTGTTTTACAGATAGAGATATTGAGGACCGATAGATTACTTTTCTAAAATAATATAGTAGTTTAGGGTGATATAGATGAGGATTCAGTTTCCCCAGCACAGAATCGTAAGTAGTGTTAGTGGAAAAAATATGGACTTAATAGCTAAAAAAATGTAGGTTTGAATGTCAGCTGTTCTACTTACTAGCTATGAGAACTTGAGTAGGTTACATCCTCTCTCTGAACCTCAGTGTATTTATCTGCAATATGGGCATATAACCTAATCTTCAGGGATGCTGTGAGGAATAAACTAAAGCATGTGCACATGGGCTCAGTAAATAGAAGCTGTAGGAAGCTCTATGAAGATGTGTGAGACAAATGATCATTCATTTCTATGGGGACAGAATTCCTTAGATGTCTATTTCCTAGGGCTAGTCTGAAGGAAGGAAATAGTTAAAAAGGGATTACATTTTACTATGAAGAATACATATTGCATGCATCATATATAATCAGTTCGCAGCGATTGCGAATTTTAGAAACAGCCTCGATGTATCTTGTAGGTTAGGGTGAAACCTTCACAAGCAGCTTCCTAGGAGTCAGACATTGTTTCTCCTCACAACTTAGAGGAAATTCTACTGCAGATAAATGTGGTGAATCATTAATTTAAGGAGGACATAGGAGAACTCTATAGACTTGGACCAAATCTCTAGTGGATTTATGTTCATAATAAACCTTGGTCAGCAGCCACCAGTGAAATGGGAACGTGATAATTCTACAATGACAGTAATTTAATTTTGATTTTGTAAAAACACACTGGAGGCATAAAGAACTTTTGATTTATGTGATGAATATTCTTAGTGCATAGTAATTGGTGTATAATATTGACCTGAATATATGTATTTTACAGGCCATGATAAATCTGTTTTAAAAAAATACTCTTTAAACATCTAAAACAAGACCTTGAACATTAATAATAATTTGTTGTAAACATAAAATAAGATTTATGTTTAAAAATTCTTTGAATTCATATGATCTGTGAGAGAGTACTGTATTGATAGAAAAGAGTTTCAAGTTAAAATTAATGCCTGTTTTTATGAAATAACATAAGCAGAAAAACTCTATGGAAAAGCTCTATAATATGTATTATTTTAAAACAGTAATTTTTTCTTCCATCCACTCAAGTTTGTGAAATGTTAACATCATTTTAAGATTAAAATTTTGAAAAGGACCAAGAAAACAAAATATTTAGTATAATTATATCATACCTTAATAACCTGTAAAATCCCCACATTTGTTCTTTCATTCATTTGTATGTTGAACCAATTTCCCTCATTTCCAGAGATAAAGAAAATGACTGCCATCCAGTTAGCTGAGTACTCCTCATCCAAATCAATTACTCTAATCTGGAGCAAGTCTGAATATAGAGCATTTTCATCAATGTCTAGGGATTTCTGAAACAAGAAGGAAAAGAAACAACAAAAACCATGTGAGTGAGAGAAGAGCAATACTAGACTCATATTGAATGTTTATAGTTATTCACTACTTAGAAAAGGGATCTGTGTTCATAGTCTCACTTTTCTTTGTTCAGATATTTTCCCCCTATGCATTATATAAACAATCACAAGGCAAAGTACATGTCTACATTTGAGTTGTATATGACTAAAGATAACATATGCATTTGGAAATAGAATTGTTCAAATGAATTTTAGAATGTGATGAATTTAGTTATTAATTTCAAAGACGAATACTTACTAAAGGCAGATCCATGTATGGGATGTTGTCATTGACATCGAGAATTTTAATGCTGCATTCACACTCTGCTGACATACCATCTGATCCGCCATCTCGGTCTGAGCCTCTTACAGCAAGAGAGTACTGGCTATATTGCTAAAAATACACATTACAAATAATATCACAGTTGACACAGATAGTCCTTATTCTGCCTCATGCAAAGTTCTTTTAAAATATTGGCTCAAAATTGACATAAATCTATGATGGCGATAGGGGTAACCCAGAAAATCCACAAATGTACAAGAACCAATATGGAAGTTGCCACTTCTAGTCCCTAAAATGTTTATCTGGCCTCATTTAAAAGAAGCAGCATTCTGTTTGGGTTTCATTCCTTATTATATGCCCAGAATTTTAAAACATTTATAAAGGATAGAGTGGATCAAAACGATCAGGGGAGAGAGATTAAGTTTCACTAGGACTTTTGGCATGAACATTTCATACTTTAAGTAATCAGCTCTAAGTGTGCAAGAAGAATAAAGAGATAGCATTTCTGGAGGGTGGCAGGTTGTGGCAGTGGAATTATTGATGATCTGTCTTCCTAATTCTACTCAATGATGCTTAAATTTTCAGAAGCTGATAAATGGATAAATTCTTTCCCAGACAAATGTATATTTGCATCTTCATTTAAAATCATGGATATAATCTTAGAGAATTCATACTCAGAGACATCTTGAGGTCTTTCCATGAACCCCAGGTTAAGGATATTTGCTCCAGTGCTTCCCAGTGACTATAGTTCCTTTACTTTTTAGAGCTTTTCACCACTAAGACTCTTATGACATTAAAAGAATTTCACTGAGTTCTTTAAGAAAGTTTGAGAAAGAACTAGTCAATTTCTTCTGATGATAATTTTCAAACAAATAAAAAGGAAGATAAAGGTAACCTAGAAACAGATGACATTTGGATCATTAAAGAGTGTAAAAATAATCTTATGTATCCTACACCTAGGAGTCAAAACGGGGAGATTGTCATTTTTAAATAACTATAATGATTAAAATAAAATTTAATTGAGTGTCAATGAGAAAATAAAACTTTCTCATTTATATCCCTAGAATATATACAGGTCAGCTATATTCTATCAATATCAAAAAATAATGAAAAGTTGATACTTTTAAATTAAATTGTGGGACCACATGATGTGATAGAAATCATGTAATGCTTACTCTAATTTGGTAACAATCAATAATTATTTTCTTATTTGTAACTGAAAAGATTGATCAGGCTGTTAATTTCTATCATTCTGATCCTGTGATTCATTTCCCAAAGTAATCAATGGGCTGTCAGTAGAGGTGACACAGGAAGAAAAATAAAAGAATATCTGTTGTCAGATGAGTTCAGGATATACTGGGTTAAGGAAAGATTAATAAGTTTCTTAGCCCGTAAAAATTCTTGGAGCCTCTCCCATGTTCACATGCATTCTGACTCGCCAAGATGGAAGCTGTGATAGCAAATGTTTCTTAATTTATTTTGTTATAGAACTCATTTAAAAAAATAGAGCTTTGCCTCTACCTTGTGCATATTTTTATGTACTCTCAGAATAGTTTTCTTAATTTAAGGCAAATCCTAAGTAACATTAAATGAAAAATGACATATAAAATGTATTTGAAGAATTCCTATATTTTTTTTCACTTTAAAGATGTTTTTAATGTCATCATTATGTGAAAAGGTTATGTAATTAAACTTTAAAAAATATTTTTTCTTTTTCTTCTTTAGATAGTCCTAATTTTAGAATCAGTTCTTATAAGACTAACAACCCATTAAACGAAAAAGAAATTACCTCTCTGTCTAGAAAATTATTCATTGTTCGAATTTCTCCAGTGTATCTGTTGATAATAAACATGGGTGAATCAGAAGGTTCCTGGCTTATGATCTTGAAGGCTATCTTTGAGTTCAAATTATTTGGTTCATCTGCATCAGTAGCATTGAGTCTCATCACCAGTGTATCTAGAAATCAAGGAAAATTGATTGCAAATGGACAGTTTGCATTTTTGTTATTGTATGTTATAGTATATTGCTTTTCCAACAAGGTGTTAGGGTTAATTGGTCTACATAATGTTCACTCTACTATTTTTGCTCTCTATTTCTTCAATATATTAATATCTCAGCTCCTTTCTATACCTTTGCATTGACAAAAAGATCACATTTTACTAAGAACCTAGACAGAAAACAAAGAAATGTTTTATTCTGCCTTTCCATTTCTTCTTTTTTCAAGGCTGCTGTAGTGAAATGAAATGATATTAAGGTCATATCAACTCTTTACCAACTATAGCACTTTCTAGCTGTATGATCTCAGCCTCAGTTTCCACATTTGAAAATGGGGATGCTTTAGTACCATCCTCAGTGAGTTCATGAAAGAAGTAAACAGCTTAATGAGAGAAAATTATAAAGAGTTCTTACTGAATAATGTACATTCAATAAATATATATTATTGTTCTGTTTTGCATGATCCCTAGTGAAGTCTAGGTAACTAGTAGGTTAAAGAGATGCTTGTTTAACTACATACTTTGTCTTATCCTTCATCTTTTCCATTAATCTCATAAGTAGTTTTGATGAAGGACAGTGAAGAATGTGAAAAGCTGCCAGTGTTCATAAACTAGAATTTTTCTCTACAAACTATTTTAAGCACAATTTGTGTCTTATAAACACAAATGCACCAGAGTATCTCCCATCTATCTCCCCTTCTCTCTCGCTCTCTACTTCTCTCTCTGTATTCATTTCGGCATCATTTTAAAAATAGACAATTAATTAATTAATTATGGTATGCTTGTACAGTGAATCTGGTACAACTGTTAAAAGAAATGAAGAATTCTCTTATTTCCTAATATGGAAATATGTCAAAAATATATTTAAATAAAAGTTCACATTGTGGATTAGTATGTAGAAAAGGGTCTCATTTCTTTCCAAAAACATGTTTATTTATGTTTGTTTTCTTATAGAACATATGTACCTAAATAACTAATGATAGTACTTACTTCTGCAGAGTAAAAGCCCCAACAAATTTTATTCTATTTTTTCTTTTCGTATTGTATGAAATTTTTCAAAAAACACTTTAGAATGATATTTTAAAAGTTAGAAATATAGGTATAGTATTTTAATTAATAAAAGTGAAATATAAGGATTTTTTTTTTAATTTATAAGAAGTTATACCACTTAAATGTTAAAAGTAACTATGGTAAGTTGAAGTTTTGAATTTAATTGAGAAATGAGCTCTGATGATTTTAATTTATTTAGGACAATCTTTAATGGTATACTAAGCAGTTAATATACTATCCCTTCCTAGTGACTGACTATTTGGCATTTTAAATGTTGTCATTTATAGTAGTCCATAAGGAGGCCATTGCACTTTAAGATAGTGGAACCTCTTTCAGGTAAATGCTCTATCTGGTTATAGGTTTTCCGGGGTCACTCTACTAGCACCACTTGAGACAATCACCTTTGAATATGAACCAAACAGAATTAAGTTTAGTATACATTTAAAATATATAAAATCAGTGACTTGAGTAAAAAGCCAACAAAACCTATATTTATTAAATCACGTGTAAGAAGGGGAAACAATACTTATTTTGCATTTATTTGCCCTCAAGGAAAGCTCTTGAAGACTATGGCAACAAAATAGATTGCCTGAAAGTGATTTCTATGAATGACTTTAAAATAGTTAAAATTAAAAATCAATTAATTAATTAATTTAAAACAAAAAGGAAGAAGGAAAAAAAAAGCAATATGAATAGAAGTGGATGAGACTGCCCTTCAAAGCCTTCACTCTGGGATGCTAAATTCTCCTCCCAGTGCCCCTGCCACCACCGTGCAAAGTCTCTTTGGAATTCCTCCTTAAGAATCTACTATAGAGTTGGTGTGTGAGTTAATGAGAAAATTCTTCTCATTACTTTGGAGTTGCTCCTTGTGTATGATAGATCGAAGCTGCTTCCACAGTTGAAGGGAAAGCCATTATAGAGACTTCCTCATCCCTTGCTCTTTTGCATGCTTTTCTATAATTATTTCTTACATTTGTGATATAGTACATTGACATAGTTTAGCCACTAGTTGCCTGGCTATTAAGAAGGATCTGGAGGCCAGTATATTTTTGTTTACTTAACAAATTTGATTACTTACTTGCATTAGAATTTTCTTCTATTTGTCCTAGAAAAGTAGACATGGAAAATACAGGAGGGTTGTCATTTATATCCAAAACCCTGACTCTGAGCTCAAGAGGCCTCTCTAAATCTTGGCCCTGTGAATTCAGAGCCCGGCAATAGATCTAAGAGAGAAAAGAGGAATAATTAATATACGGTGCAACAAATATTAAGTTTTTACTTTGTTGGGTACTATACTTGGCACTGTGGGTAACAAAAAGAAAAATAAGGCTTTATCTCCTACTGGAGTGTAAGCACAAGCAGCACTTATAATCAATAAGGAAAGGCAAACACAAATCAAAATGCCATTTGAGAAACAGTAACAATCAGTTACAAAAGGAATGAAAAAAAATATTATGATGTCATAGGAAGATGTAATGATTAGGATAGATCTTGAAAGACAATTTATACAGCCGGAGCTGGAATTGGCAGAGTGTTCCAAGCAAAGGGATTTATGTGAAGGAGGAAACGGAGCTATGAAAATACATTGTTTGAAATTAGGTACTATGAGCACAGCGGGTGGTCGAGGCTGTGGAAAGAGAAAACCACACGGGGGCTTCAAAGAAATTTAGCATTCATAAGATGGGTGGTGGCTATATGAGTGTTTGTATTATTATTTATTGTTCACAAGTATAATACATACTATTTTACCTGTTTGGTATATTTCATATAAAAATGAATTGTGCTTCAAGAAAAGCTAATAGGCTAGCATGCTGATTTAGAGAGTTTGGGGGAAAATATTGTGGGAGATAAAGCAGGAATATAAATTAGGAATAGAAAAGACTAAGGAATTAAAATAGTTTGAGGAATACAAACAAACAGTATGAATGAAAGCAGCAAGCATAAATTATTATTTGCAGATATTTTTGGATATGGATTGGAAAGGTTTTAAAAGAAGAGGTTACAAGATCAAGGAAAGTTTTCTCTATTTTTTAATTTTAATTTTAAGTGTTAATAAGTGTTGACTGATGAAAGCAACCAACAGAGCAAACAGAAGAGACATGAAAAAACAAAGCTGATAGAATAAGGTTCTTGAAGAGCCAGGTAATTATGAGATAATGGAAATCTCGAGATAAACTGCAAAAAAAAAAGAAATAGAAAATTCATCTTGTTTTTAGATTTAATGTAAAATATTTCTGAGCTGAAGAAGAGAGGATTAATTGTACAAATTTGTGATGGAGAGCCTCAGAGTTTTTAATGAAGTTGGTCACGAGGTCAGCTGCTTAAAGTGGATATGAAGTAGAGGATTTGAAGAGTGAGCACACGTAAGCTTTGTCACAGCTACTGTAAAGAATAGAGTAAGATTCAGTTAAGGTGGAACTGAAGTCTTTCCGCAGCACGTTCTGTGCTCAGGTTAGCTTGAGCAATGTATATTTATAATAAAGTATGTTCACTCAGAAAAGACTCCTGTAGTAGCTATGAAATCATCGGTTAGCTTTGGAGTTAGAAGGAGCCAACATTTTCAACTGAATTAAAGAGAGAGAAGTAAAAGTTGAGTATTTATTTGTCCTTCCAAACAAATACTCTAGTTTGCCACTGGGACCAGACCAGGGATTAACATTGTGCTAAGGCCCTCATGTGAAACAAGCCTCGTCTCTCAATTTTCTCTGTATGTCTTTTGGGTCATGGGCTGATCACAAATTAAAAGACAACCAAAAATAACATTGAGTCTCTTGACATCAAATCAAGTATGATCTGAGCTTAAGATATGCCAAAAATAATTTAGGCCTGAACATATATATTGACATGGCACCCACTTACAATGAAAAATGGAGTGACTTCTCGATCGACTATAGATGTTATATTAATTTCACCAGTTTTTTGATTAATAATGAAGATTCCATAAGGTGGTTGATCAATTCCTACTCCAGAGATGCGATATGTAACTTGCTGGTTTGCAGCACAATCTGAATGAATCTGTAGAAAAAGCGCAAATGAAAATATTACAGGAAACAAATAAAGTCTGCTGTGTTTGATATATGACATCTGTCTTTCTTGAGAATTGTTGAATATTCTGTCCCTATTATTTTGGGGGAAATTTTGGAAATAGAGAATTATTTTCCTAGGTAAGTGGAGTACTCACAACTCTAGTATTTTCAATGGTAACTGATGATGGAATTAAAGAAATTCAATTTGTGTTTCTACCAAATGGGAGAAAAGTAAAATATCACCCTAATAAATCTAAGTCTATGCAATCATCATTCATTCATTCATTCATTCAATCAATATTTACAATTCGATCATATTATTTTTAGGCTCTGTGCTAGCACTGGGTCTAGAGTAGGAAACTCCTTGCCTTCTTAAAGAGTTGGCCAATGTTGTCATCATATAACATCGATCTTCCAATTCAGAATTTTTTAAAATTGTGGTTTTAGAAGAAGGTTTAAGTGGATTTATGTAGGGAACAAGAGTTATCTGGCTCTGTGTAGAAGCTCTTAATTCTGAAAATGGTGAGGATGTATTAGCAAAAAAGTAAGAAGAGCACCCCAAATAAATGGTTATAGAAACCAGGACTCTTTATTTGAAATAAAATATCGTATGGGGATTGTCTCTGTGTATCTGTATGAAAGTGTGTTTATGTTTGCATGTGTGTCTGTACATACACATATATTTGTATATGAGTGAGTCTGTGTGTGGGGATGTGTTCCTTAGTATATGTGTGTGCATTTGTGTGTGTGTGTGTACACAAAGGAATATGAGGAAAAATGAAAGGAAAGAGTATGAAAGAGGATACATTGTGAATGTTCATAAACAAGGCCAAAGTAGGAATTCAGTTATAATAGTTTATGAGACAGAAAGAGCACACGTTGAAAGAGTTCCTGTGAATGTGCTGAGTGTTAAATTTATTATTTAAATCGCAATATTTTTAAAATCTAAAATTTGAGATAACATATGGTCATGTATTAATTTCACCAATGAGGTGAGTCAATGTTTAACTGTTTACCTGAGTGCCTAAATTACTTAATTTATCCTTTTAATGACTTTCATTTTTATAATCTGAATGACTATAGTTCTGTTCTGCATCATAACTTCTCAGTGAGATCTGTTCATAAAATATTTAAAAGACAAGTTCTTTTGGAACTTTAACTTCATTCATTTTGATTTTCAACTTTATGCTTTTGGGTTGATACTTACTTTGGCGATTGGGTTCCTCTTTGAGTTGTCTTCACCTTCACGACAGGCTGCAGCGAATTTGATCCATTCACGTTTTTGTCTTCTGATTGAATGCCACTTGATGGTGCCATTTTTAGTGTTATAATCTCTTACCTTGAATGGGCAGGGTAAAGTAATGGTACCTATTAACGTTTATTCATAATTCATTTTCTACTGAGAATTTGGAGGAGAGGGTAATTGGAATGTCAGAAACAAAGGATGTTTAATTGGGATAATTGGTAATTTTGATAATCTATTAATTTTAGCATAACATAAATGTTACTTATAAGGATGAGTTTTTATTGGGGAGATATGTTGCTACTTCCAAACCATTTTCTTCATTTTAATTTTTAAAAAATAAATTGGTTTATGTTACCTGGATTCGAAATTCACTATTAACTTCCACCACCACCTATTAAAAAAATAAGATAAACATAATAGTTAATTTTTAATTAAATGCTTTACAATTTATGTTATCAAATCATATAAAAACATCAAACAAATCTAATTCATTATAATTATTTTCTCAGTCTTAGTAGCAAGTGGAGCTGGTATATCTCTCAGGTCTGATGATGTTGCTTTACTTTTAGTTTTTTACTCTTTAATTTTGCTCTTCTTCTTTTTATTACTCTTATTTTTTAACCTCTTTTTCATTCTTAGCCTATGCAAATTCTTGTAATCATTTGAGCTAGGACATTTGAAGCTAGAACCCAGTGGGAATGAGGGTTGGAATCTCAGGCTCTCTTAGTAAACCTTGTACCTGAAGAGCTGGAGATACTCTGATGCATATTTAGTGATATTGAACAATAAATGATGATACTAAAATTTTTTACTATAGTTTCAACATCTGACTAGCCACAGATGGAAATAGAAAAAAATATTTTGGAGTAAGAAAGACACAAAGTACAAAATATCCAGGAAACTTTAGAATACTTGTTCCTTCGCATTTCAATTATAAGTGGAAGGTTTTCTAGTATTCTTGAAAATCTTGTTAATAAATTTTTCACTTGCTTTTTATATGAGAATAAAAAGTTCTAAAATAAAAGCAAATAATTTTCTTTATGTAAAAATGAGTTTGTATTTGATTTTATTGTTAGCACAGAATAGGTGATTTAAATGTATCCTTCCATAGCAAGGAGAATAAATTGTAGAATGGGGACAAATAGCTGAATAAGTAACTTCCATTTGGTTTTTTCTCTTGCTTTATTTATTTAAATATCTATCTATCTATCTATCTATCTATCTATCTATCTATCTATCTATCATCTATCTATCTATCTATCTATCTAATCTATTCATTTAGTTATTTTTATATAAATTTATTAGGGATGACACTGGTTAATAAAGTTATATATTTAAATTGTACAATTCAATAATATATCATCTTTATATTGCGTTTTGTGTTCACCTCTCAAAGTCAAATCTCCTTCTGTCATCATATTCTCCTGTTTTAAATAAGTGAACTAGTCAAGCAGAGCTCTACCTAGTTTCAGCTCTGGACTTCATCTATACATATGACTTATAATATAAAATCAGGATCATTTAACTTATTTTTCTCTGAAAACCAAAGGCCTTTCTAAAAACACAGACACTTAATGTATTAAGTCTAATATGTCAGTATACTTGAGACATCAAAATATTTATGTAAAAAATTAGATATTGCTTTGTAGGCTAGTTTGCATTTATCATTCTAAACTGCACTTAAAATTAACTAAATATGATGTAAATCTTTAGGTCTTATTTCTGTCTAAAGAAGACATTTTTAACTTCTATTTGAAGTTTTCAGAATTGCAAAGTATAAAAACTGTTATCACAATCAGGATTTACCTTTATTACTCAAAGAAAATTATAGTTTACATTTTTAAAAATATTACTAATAGTAATTTCAAAATATAGTAAACTACTTTTTATAGTTAGTTGGTTTTAATTCCACCATTAAATTAAAAATAAAATATTAGTCTTCTAGTACATATTTTTTTAAATTGCCATAATTGATAATTCAAGAAAATATGCATTTATGATTCATATTAGTAGTTTAAAGAGGTAATATTTTTACTATAGGAGTTATATACTCATGGCATATATTTAATGTCAATCATAATCATCATTACTATTACAATTCACTGAATGATAACTACTAGACAACATGTTTAGAGAAATTCATGTGTTTAATCTTCACAAGTACGTGTGGTGAGTACTATAATTATCTTTATTTTACAGATGAAATCGAGGTTTGGATATTAATTTATGGTTAATACAATCCAATACAATTCAGCCTAAATTTGTGCTTGAGGTGTTGGTTTTATGATAAAGTACAAGATAGCCTATTTTAAGAAAATTACTCAGTAAAATATACTACAAAGAACTGACATTACAATTTTTAGAATTCAAAAAAATTTAAATCTAAAAATTTTAATCTAATCTCATATTATCCTTGTGATTAGAAATGCTTATGTACAATAATAACACCAACAATAGTAGTAATACTGAAGGGAAAAAAAGGAAAAGTAAATGGCCCAAATGGTTTGGACACGTAACTGAAATGATATTGTAGATTTCCTCTTGGGTGCAGGATTGAAATGATGTTAATGTAGATGTGTACTACTTGCTACCTGTGAACTCATGAGTATTTATTCCTCTCTCATTTGTGGTTATGGGATGGGGATATGGGGATACCTTATTTGTCTGTGTTGTGGAAACCATTTCTTCATAGCTTACAGAATTATGTGTTCATCTGTTATCTGTCTTGCACTTTCCTGACCACAGTGAAATGTCAGTGCCTGCTGTTTGTTTTGGAGAACTATGCCAGATGACTAATCTTCCAACTTTATGAAGCTGGGTCATTCTTTTTCCCATGAGAGGCAACTTAGGCAGAAGAAGGAGTAGGTTTCACCATAGTGTCAGGCTCTCAATTGGAACAGTAATTAAAAAACTGCCAAGTCTGCTTAAAAATATGTTGTGTTGCCATAACCATATTGTCTTTTGCTCAAAGTCAAGAATTAACTCTGAAACGAAGTCACTTTTTGACTTTCAAAGATAATGAGATAAAAAGAGCACTTGGTAGAGTCAGAAAACTTTCAATGTACTTCCTAAATTCTCTGAGCTTTAGTTTTCTAATTTGTAAAATGACTGGAATTGACTAAATTATGCACAATTACCTTTCTGATTCTAACAACAAATCCCAGTGTGCAGTAGGAAAACATTGAAGTTTTTTGATCATGGCAAAGACATGTTAAAATTGTAGATTTAGGAAAATGACTCTGACAACAATTGGTGGGAGTGGTGGGAAGAGGCAGTGATTATATAGGCTACAAGCAGTTGAGTTTCTGCAAGTCAGTCCAGGGATGGGGAGGATCTGAACCAGAGCAGTGGCAGTGGGAACAAACTGGAAAAGATCAAGGGAGAGATACTGAATGCATGGTTGAAACTGAAAAGGCTTGAGAACAAATGGGATGTGGGACTCAAGAGAGGGAAGAATCTCAGTTGATAGCAGTTTTTAAACGAGGCGATCAGGAGCAAGACAGAAGCAGAATTTAGCAGGTTAGAACACGTCAAGTTTGAGATGTCAGAGAAATGCCTGGTGAAGATGTTCAGTGATTTGAAATATGTGTCAGCACTATGAACAATAGTATATAGATTTGAGTTACTTCTGCTTAGGTAGGATGGTTGAAATCATAGGAGAATTTGAAATTTGTAAAGTAGAGAATACAGCAAAGAAACAACCTGTGGCTGAGAATGAAACTAGGGGAATTCCTACATTTATATAACTGGGAATAATGACAATAAACAAGAAACAAAGGAAGAGATAGAAAAAGAAGTGGCCAAAGAAATAGGAAGAAAGTATAATGCAATGTCACAGATGTCAGAGGAAGGGAGAATTGAATGACAAATATGGTATAAACAAGTGTCAGATGATATTAAAAAGTTAAGTGGAGTGAATCCTGAGGAAATCCTGAGGTTTTCTGTGACCTTTGGGAGAATGCTTTCAGTTGGATGGAATAAGCCCTTCCTGACTGACAGGATTTGGGGAATAAGATGGAGGAGAAGAAGACATGAAGATGCCATGTTTTCAAGAAATTTGGTGATATAAGGAAACAGAAATGATGGTAGAATTAGACGTAACATCCAAGCAGATATTTAGGGAGAGGGAGATGTGGCTTTTTGAAGGTGAAGCAATAGGAGAGTAGGTTATTTTGATTCGGAACAGAAGAGGTTAAGAAAGATTGAGAGAGTAGGAGGAAATAGGCAGAAAGAAAAGACTTTAGAGAGAGAGGGTAAAGAAGAGAGGAAGGATGAAGATTAAAATAAATTGATCAGGAAGGGGAAGTAGAAGGACATCATTCTGAATGATCTAGACCTTGTCCCTAGAGTAAAGGTATAGTTATTTTCTGGTAATTAAAGGAGTAGTTTGGATTCTGAAATAAATTGGGAATACGTGCTGTGGGGCTGTGATGGAGATTCACTTAGTGATGAATACAGGAGTAGTCATGTCAGTTCTCTTGCCCACTGGATATGGGAATTGGGGTAAGTCATTTAGCCATGCTGTGCCTCAGTTTCCTCATCTGTATATGAGACTGAAGTCCTTTCTTATCCAAACGTTCTAAGAAAGCAGTGAATAATTCACTTGAAGTGCATCCTCAATAAGTCTTCCCTTCATCTCTATTGTAGAAGCCAACCCATGTATTTAAAATAAAAAAGCCACAGGACAAAAAACTTCATGCTAATTTCTTTTATTTTTTTTTTAATTTATTTTTTTAGACAAGGCAATCCTTGGTTGACCTCACAGATTGCAAGGACCTTGTCAGCTTACAATCCCTTACTTTTTATTTTTTATGCCTACAGCACCTGGTCTTCCTAGGTGGTCTCCCATCCAGGTACTAACCAGGTCTGACCCTACTTAGCTTCCGAGATCAGACGAGATCAGGCTTGTTCAGGGTAGTATAGCTGTAGACTCATGCTAATTTCAATGACTCTTTAATTATGTTCATTTTAGGTTGTTTTTTTTGGGGGGGGGGAGGATATTGAGTTTTGCGTTTCTTTACATATAGTAAAAAGGGTCTTGAAAGTAGGAATAGTAATTTTTATAAGGAAAATCTCTTGCAGTTAATAATTGTGAGGTGGTCTTTCACAGTCACTTGGCAGTTTTTGTTAAGCATAAAATTCTAATGTGTTTAACTGCTATATACATCACAAGAATGAACTTGAGACAAAGTTAAAATATTATAATTTGCTTCTTTTAAAAAAATCTCCTCTTTTGTCTTTTTTTTGTATTACTTGGACAAAAGTTATTAGTCTGAAGTTGTCTTCTTGATAGGTTGATTTCTCTTATTCATTCATTGGTTTATTCATTTGACAAGTACATAATGATTGTGTATTATGTGGATCCAAGGCTGGATTAAGACTTTTAAAGGGCTTAAGACCTAAAAATATTATGGTAAGCTTTAGATGAAATGTGAAGTAAATGTAATACTATACCATAAAAATAAGTACTGGGAAACAATTATTTCCATGTTTAATATATTGATGATTTTTTGGAGTGTGTGGGGGAAAAGAAGTAGAAGCTATCCAAAAATTCCCTTCTGATGCCTCCTCTTTATGTATGTAATTTGACGTCTATTGAGCAATCTCGCACTGGTGCAAAGCGCTATGAAGGATATAAAAGTGAATCAGACACAGAACCTGCCTTCAAATAACTTATAGTCAAGTGGTTTTATGAGCCACAGGCAGCCATTAATTTGTGGGGAAATGGTTTTTAATTGGACAAGTTTAAATGATTGAGCTCTATTTTCATAAGCCAATATGAGGGCATGGATCAGCAGCCAATGGCATTTGAACTACTTTGACCTGCCTAAATCCATTAAAGAAATTTACATGTCAAGCATAACCAGCAAGGGTGGCATGACCCAGCACTCCAAAAGAGTGTTGTCTCATTGATGGAAGCGTAATAAATCTAACTGCAATGCTGAGCATGCCTCCTGCTTATATGTTAGGCAATGTCTAGTGAGACCTGGGGATATTCAGCAACAATGTTCTTAAAGAATGTATAATGAAGGAAGAGTTATTAGAAATTAAGAGCTCTGAGTATAAATAAGAGTGTTACTTTTTAGATTCATGAGCCTTGTTCAATAGGTGAATCTTGTCCTTCACATTAATAAGATAGCATTTCCTAGTACTTTAGAGTTTTCTATTACCCAAATCGGGCATGGCAAAACATTTTTACTCTGCAGCAACTAAAACCAATTAAATGATGATAAATTTGTACTCTCTATTTTCATAAAGGTGAAGGAAGATGCAGTTAAGCACACCATATAAATGGAAATTATTTTGCTTAAATACAATTTATAAATTTTACTAAGCAGGTGAACAGAAATACTGCTTCCATTTTTATAAAATATTTTACTGAAATACTAATATCTATAATATATATCGTTATAGTATGTGCAAGAAAGCATAAAGAATCCCTTCTTTTGCTTGTCTACTGTTTGGTCTGTAGTAGTTTGTTAGTCTTTCCTTTGCTTTAAGCATCAGTGAACACAATTATGAGAATTTAAGATGTGCGATTCAAATAAGTTGATGAATTACATAATAAAGTACATATTATTTTTTAAGTATATCATCCTGAGTGCTGAGAAATATTCTGATAAACTGCTTACGTGCTAAATAATTTCAGCTAAGTTCGAATTGTGAAGTTACTTTATTTGGTGGTCAGAGGGTGTTTTTTCTTTTCTTTTTTCTTTTTGAAAGGGAATATTAACTGTGGGAAAAGACGACGCTAGGCTGGTATGATGAACTGAAGAAATTGGATCATTACCGGTACCAGATAAAGATAGGTTTATTTGAGTTCTTTGCTGTAGAAATTGGCTTTTATAGGAAAGACAACTTGAGGTTTGTATTGATTTGACTAGTTGGACCTGACAAATTTGCAAGTAATTTTTAGAAATTAGAACTATAAAAATTCTACTGGTTCAAAAAATAAAAAATAAATAAAAATTCTACTGGTTCTATTTTGTGTTCCCACAGTGACCATGCCATACCTTACATTATTGTCACATCCATTCTGAGATTTCTTATATTTGGTGAATAGATAACATTGTTCTCTGGCCTAGAATACAGTCTAACCCCTGCCTCCATACACTAATTTGATGGAAACAAAAAGAAAGAAAAGTAAATGCAAAATTAATAATATTATTTGGCTTGCTGTGTTATAACAGGTGTAGGCTATTGTCTGTTCAGGAGACTTGTCTAAATAATGGAACAGTCATGGGGCAAACTTGGTTGCTGCAAGAGCAGGTTCTTTATCTTTATGCTCTCTGATCTAAACCACTACTTTGAACAAGGTCTAAAACCTTTAGGTATATTGAGCAAACTATATAACATACTTGAAAATTATGGCTGTCCAGCACGCAAGTGTATTCGTATTACAGATACTACTAGTTTAAGTGTTTTAAAGGTGTTCAGAATTGCTCCCTGCTATAGATTTTCACTTACTGACTTTAAGTAGAAAAGAATATAAAGACTTTACATAGTTTTTTTGGTTTGTTTTTTGTTTTGTTTTGTAAAAGCAAACATTCGCAGTAAGCCTAGCAGAAAAGTGAGTGAAAAAGTTTGCTATAGTGGTGGTTAATTTTCAGAAAAAATATAGTATTTTAAAGCAAAAATAGACTGCATAACTCCAAAAGACATTTATGCAAATCATCTGGTAAAATCAGAGGGAAAAATAAATTATGACTTTCCAAACTTTAGAAAGTGAAATATTTTATAAAAATACTTACGATAATGTAAAAATGAAACATTTTAATCACAGAATAAGTTCTTTGAGAAACAATTTTCATAAAGCATATGAAAAATCTGTGATTGATTCTAAAGTAAAATTTGGCAACAAAAATACACAAAGATGCCTATCCAGACTCAGAGAATAAAATACAACTATCCAGAAACCTCTCTAGAAAGAGAGAAAGTTCAATAAAGACACATGATTTTGATAAAATGATAAATTTTACTGAAGAATGACTAATTAGAAAGTGGATGATTAAAGAAATTTTACAGGATGTAATTATTTAGGAATAATCATAAAAATAATGAAATAAGGTGTTTTATAGAGTCAATGAAAGTACATAAGCATCTGAATGAACTTTAATCAATTATAACTATAATAAGCCTTAATGGATCAAATTTATATGAAATTAAAAATAAAAGTATTTGTTTATTTTACAATTCATAAATACTCTTATGTTCAAATGACATACTGTGAGGTTTATTAATCCTTGCCACATCCCAAGTTATGATATCAATTGATCCTAAAGACACATTAAAAAGTCCATGGAATAGGGCCTATGTTTAAAGAGCAGTTTGGAACTAAAGCTACCCATTTATTGATGCTCATTTGTAACTAAATCTCCTGATTATGACCTCTCTTAATTAATAAACTGAATTCAAACCATAAATCAAAGATCTAATTTGTTATTATAGAAACCCAACAATCCAGTTCCAAAATAAAGCAAGTAGAAACATATACGAACCACAGCACTGTACCCTGCCAAATTGGATCATGATTTAACTGTCATTTGTCTCTTTGGATTACATTAACTTTACTGTGAGACTATGATTTTAAAATTTGTGACATAAGTGAAACTGAGGCAACACATCAGTTCTGCACTTAGTATTATCTTTAAAAAGAAAATATAGATGTAAGGGGAACAATGATAAAACATTTAATTACATTTGTCTGACCATCAATGTACAACTTGTATATCACAGTCATTACTGATTTTCCATTAGTAAGAACCAGTATTGTAATAATTATACTTACTTCTTAATTAGAGCCATTTCTTCATCTACTGTGTCATTTATAAATCTCTCATACTGCCTTTTTTTAAATAACAAAATATCATTTTAAATAAAATCATAGGTTAGCAGTGTAGGGCTTTCAATATTAGTGACATGGATCCCAACCACAAGTGACACTGATGAGATTATTTGGATAGTGAGGCCAGTCACAAACTGCTATGATTTTAATTTATATGGATCCTATTTTTATGTTTTAAAAATTATAGTGAATCTACCAGTAAAGATACCAAAAGAATGAAAAATGTTGAGGTTAAAAATCAGGACACACCTGTGATATTACTTTAAAAGACAAGCTTCAAAAGAGAATTTGAACCAAGAGCTAATAAATAGTGATACGACTTTCCCAAATTCAATATTTTCCCAGCGTCACTTAACAATGACTTTGATGTCACGGATGTGATATGATGAGTTGACACTGATGCACTAATGTGATCTTAAGTCTTTAATTAAAGAAATAACTAAAAATCTAGTTCATAAAAATCATTAACATAAACTTTTAATGGGCTTAAGTTAGAAATAACACTAAATAACATTTTCTAAAAGGTTCTCACTTTACAACAAGAATGATCATGGAGAATTTTTAACAGAATCCACTTACCAGAAAAATGAACAGCACCGCAGCTATTCTAAAGGAGTGCCAGTCCATCCCTGCTGGGTTCTCTTACATTCAGGACTAAGGGAAAGTTGTTTCTTCTCTGTTCTTTTTCTTTCCCCCACTCAGCTGGTGTCTGATTAAAATAATTTCTCAGTAGATGTTCTTACATGCAGGCTTTGAGGTGTTTCTACCTTCTCTGGGAGAAGGACTGAATGTACGTATAACCAGTCTAGATCCCCACCCTAAAAACTTGGGCTGGTCTCACTAAAATGCTTGACAAGATCATCATTGCTCCCAGGTAAAAGCTTAGGGACACACCCTTCTTCCAGCTGAAAGGCAGCTCTCTGTAGGGCATGGAAGATTCACTACTTTACTGAAGATTTTCAGTGGCAGGCATTTAAAATGATCCAAAGTATAGAGAATTATACAATTGATAAGAGCTTTTTATCCTATGCTTTATTCACAAGTTGTTTAGCTTCTTCTTATATTAAAAAGTCCAGTGTAACCTGGATGCTTTTATTATTCAGAGGATTATTTGGCCCATGCTCATAGCCACTCAGGTCACAGTAGAAAATTACAAACTTTCTATTTAGGTGGGTGTTAGGAAATAGTCATTCTCAAAGTTGTTCTTTAAGAGACCGAAAATTTGCTAATGCTGAGTGAGGATTTTTTTAAAGCACTAATTTAAACAAGCAAAACTGTGATACTTACAATTATAAGGTCCTCTGCATAAGTTACAGCTCTCTTTAAGTGATCAAGCTAAGTCCAGGGAAGTCTCTATTTTTCTCCCTCAGTGAATATTTTCTCTCCCCAACTAATTTCCTCTCTTTAAAGTTCTGCCCTTTTTGAGTACAGAATTTTTTTAAAAATATCGTTGTCAGATTAAAAGTAAATAAAACCTCCAATTAAATCCTGTAGGTAATTTAGAAAATGAGGATCAGTGCCTGAAATACTAATGGAAACACAGAAAGCTGCTCTTCAGGTGAGGTGGGTTAAAAGTCAGTGGTAATTCCCAAGCACAGAGCCAAGAATCTGTATAGCGAGCCAATTAGAACACAGGGAACACACTGAAGAAATGGCTGCCCACACATGCAAATGGGGAACTGAGCAGCCCTGAGGTTTGTAAAAATAGAGTGACTCTCACAAGGCAGCATTTGACAGCATTCTTGGGATATGTTCTCTTCACCTCGCAATGTCTGGTAAAAATATTGTGAGTGGAAGGAAATCTATGCAATTCAAAATGGCAATCTGGAACAAAAGACCTATTGGATAAGAAGTTGATTATGGCCAAAAGGATGCTAAAAACATCCCTGAAAGGAAGGACATCTCTGAGGGTCAGAGCTTCTATAGAATGCTATCATTTCACTGCAGGTGTGTAGCAAAGGTTACTCAACAGCTGTTTGAAATTCCATGCTATTTGGAGCTTAGAGAGGAGATAGGCTGTCTATATTTACTTGCCATGAAGAAGAATGCTTCTAAGAGGAACTGTTTGATATAAGTAAATAAAATAAAAGGAGACGATCAGGCTGAATTTCTCATTAGTCGAATAAGATAGATTGTTGACTTATGACAGTCTGAGCAATATATATTAGTAGTAAGATTGACCATGAACGACTGAAGACTCACTGGACACCAGAAATGAAAAAAATCTGCTCTTGCAGGTGGATAAAGTGAGTGCTTTATCCACCTTAAATTCTGGGCACAGGCCCTCATCAGTATAATGACTCTCTGCCAAGCCCAACCTTGGCTCCACCCCTAACTTAATGCCCTGCTCCAACAATTACAACCATCTAGAACTTTCATAAGGCAGTAACCTCTCCAGCGCCTTTCTGATGGCAGGACACGAACACTGCAGGGCAGCGGCTAACTTGACCATCATATGAGAACTAGAGACACTAAACACCAGTGGGAAAAGGAATTTATGAATCACCATCTTTCTTCTTTCACCTCTTTCCCCGCTGCTTTCTCTTTCCTACTCATTTTAATGTCCTTAGTTCAGCGTTGTCCAATAGAACTTTCTGAAATGTGAAAACGTTCTCTATCTGTGCTATCCAATACGATAGTCATTGACCACACGTGCTTACTGAGCAAATGTGGCTGCCATGACTAGGGAACTGAATTTTTACTTTATTTAATTTTAATTAATTTAAATTTAAATAATCACATGTGGAGGGTGGTTACGATGTTGCACAATTCTATTACCTTCTGTCTTATTCTATACCTTAACTCCTTCTGTTCCTTATAAATTCAACTGCTTTTCTCAACTGAGGGAAGTCCAGCTTTGCTCCAGTTTCCAATCAGTACCTTTTGGTTCCCTTTTCTTTATGTACTTCTATTATCACAGTTGGTCCAGTCCTTTTCCTAAACTCTTTACTGATCCTATTCCCTAATGTTAATGAGTTAAAATACTTTAAAACATAAGCAACAAAAACCCCTCTCATCTCCATATTTACATTTTCCAGCCGCCTTATCTGTAAGCTTACACTACATCATCACATAACTGTGCTACACAAGTTTGTTTCACCAATCTGATCTTATTGTACCCTGTTTGTACTCTGAACATTGTTTATTAAGTGTACTTCTACCTACATATCAACAGTTCTCATGTCATGGAAATTTTATGAAATTCAGGGTAATTGTTTGGAATTTCCCTAGTAAGCTAACAGATTTGTTTTCACAGGGATCAAGATTTTCCTGGGAAAGGATTTTCCTCTTTTGTAAGGCACTGTAAACTCTAGAGTGTCATCCCAAGTGCCTACTTTTCTATTTGTTCAATTTGGGATACTGTAATATCCTCTTGAAAGAAAACATAATCAGCATCTTTCATTAAAGGTGATGAATTTTACTGATCTAGAATTTTTAAAGTCTAATTAAAGTAACTGGCTTTTCTATCCATCTTCATTTAGACAGCACCCATAGCATGGACTCACATTTCAGAGCAATGCTTTGGTTATATTTTTATGTTATATGTGATCCTCTGGTTTCGTTGATGTGTCTAAATTACCCTAATCAACTCTACAAACTGCTTTAAAAGAAGTGAAACAAAAATAAATACTAAATATAGAGGAAAAAATTGAGGTAAATGTGTTAAGAATAATACAAACAAAAAATTTTTGCATTTGCCACTATATCAATGTTACTGTCATATGTATTGATTCCAGATCTGCTTCACATTGTTTAAAATTATACTGTTCCTCTCTTCTCATGGCTGAGTAATATTCCATTTATATATGTACCACAGCTTCTTTAGCCAACTATCTATTGTAGGACACTTCAGGTGCTTCCATGTCCTGGCCACTGTAAATAATGCTGCTATGAATATCAGTGTGCAAATATCTTTTTGGATATGGGTTTTCAAATCTTTGGGGTAAATGCCCAGTAGAGGGATTGCTGGATCAACACGGATGGACCTCGAGATAATCATGCCATGCAAAATAAGCCAGACAGAAAAAGTTGAAAATCACATGATATCACTTATATGTGGGATATAAACCTAAAAGCAACAAATAAACAGAGACTCATGGACATGGACTATAGACTAGCGTTTACCAGTGGGTAAGGGGTGGATGAGGAGGGGAGAGGTAGACGCGGTAAAGGGGGTCAAATATAGGGGGTTAGGGGGAGGGCGAAGTGGATAAAGGGGATAAAATATATGGCAGCTGAAGAAAACTGGACTTTGGGTGGTAAACACACAGTAGAATATTCAGATGTCAAATTATAATGTGCATCTGAAAATTATATGATTGTATTAACCAATGTTACCCCAATAAACTTAAGTTTTAAAAAGTCAAAAAAAATTAGACTGTTCCTCAGTGGGTCACATCTGGGGGATAGAGACAGCTCTTTTAGATTAAAAGAGACTTTTCTTTTAATATATGACAATCAAATATCTGATCTTTAATTGAATTCCTGATTTGAATAAAATAGCTATAGAAATAATTTGGGGAGTACTTGGAGAAATTTAAATATGGGTTTTAGAAAATTATTATCTATTTTATTACATTAGGTAGTCATAGGTCTTTATTTTTAAAGATACATGCTATCTTTATGAAGAAGAAAAATCTCATGATATAGAAATTTTCTTTATTGTAATTCAGCAATAAAATAAGTGTAAATATGACATATTAACAATTATTAAATCTAAATAATAGTATATGGTTTTTTTTTTGTATATTTGAGAATTTTTATAGTTAAAATAAGAGTAATGGACTAAAGTAGTGGTTGGCAAAGTATAGCCATTGGCTAAAGCTGGCCCACTGCCTTTTTTTTTTTTTTTTAACATAACCATACTTATTTGCTTATGGATTGTGTATAGCTGTTTTCCCCCTACAACAACAGAACTGAATAATTATGACAGAGATCATGTGGCCTGCGAAACCTAAAATAATTACACATCTGGCCCTTTATAGAAAAAAATTTGCTTGCTTCTGGACTAGATGAATAGATTATAGTTTGTCATACAAAATATGACTCGTTAGTAAATTAGTAGATCTTAGGAGAATCCACAAGATTGATCTAAAGAGTGTGAATAGAAATCATGATAACTAAAGTAACCACTAAAGTTAAAGCAATTAATTACTGAGGAAAAGATACATCTTTATTATCAAATTATATTTTTAGTTTTATTTTTAGTTTTTATTTTCAGAAAGACTTGGTTTAATTGACCAGAATAATTGACAGCCCAACTTATCTTCCGCTCTTTTAAACCAGATTTAAGGAAAATCTTCATTTTATTTTTCTCTAGTCAATCCTAGAATAAGAGTTTAACAGCATTGCCTCTTGAAGTATTTTTCTCTGTATAGAAAGAATATTCAGGAGTGGAGAAAATCTTAAATGATTTTGAGAACATTGGACTCTCTCTTATACTTAAATAGTTTATGATGAAATAAAAGAGGTGAAAGAATCTAAGTTATTATTGTCTGTTCTTTAAAAAATTAAAAAATAATTTTAGCTGAACATCCTTTGCATGTTCGTTGCTGTGCTAGATGCTGTGGAACATTCACAATAATTTTAAACCCTGCCCTTAAAGAGGTTTTATTACTACTTCCTTC